ACGTGGATTCAGTCAAACCTGCTGATATAACTGAAATAAGATTTTACTGCTTTTTACTCCTGTTAGCACTGCAGAGCAAAAACTACTATGAAAATAGTGCACTGGAGTCTAATATTCTTGTGCATTATCCACAGACTTCATTACTAAGTTTCATTTATAGAATCAATCATTTTTGCTTGTGCAACCCCACTGAACACAAACTGTTCTAGCATTAAGGGCACGCAGCAGCCCTGAATCTGAGCAGTAAAAACATGAGCTTTATGCTAGTTTAGCCCATACATTCACCCTGACCTTTGCTGTATGCAGTTCAGCTGAACCCAGGATCTGGTTAGTAGTATTCAGCTGACTTTCTGTATTCCTTCTTTTGGTTATTGGAATTGATTTTCCTGTAAGTCCTACACCAGTGGTTCTCAAATTTTTCCATATCATGATTAAGGTTATGATTTAGTCATGGAGGTCGCAGAAGCCCCGGAATCCATGACTTCCAGCAACCTCCATAATTTCAGCCTGCGGCGGTCGGGAGCTGCAGGGTCCCCCGCCACCAGTGGGGACAGGGAGCTGAGGGGGAATCCCAGAGCTCCAAGTTGCCGCAGGTGGTGGGGGTACCCTTCAGCTCCCGGTCGCCACAGGAAGCAGGTGAACCCCTGTGCTCCTGGCCACTGTGGGCCCCCCAGAGCTGCGGGGGTACTCCGCAGCTCCCAGCTGTTGCAGGAGGCATGGGGCCCCCACAGCTCCCAGACACTGCACCTGACAGGGGGATCCCCAGAGCTGTGGGCAGCAGGGGTACCCCACAACCCCCATCTGCTGCAGGCCACAGAGGACCCTGAAGCCCTGACACTCAACTTGCAGTAGGGGCCCCCGGAGCTCCTAGCTGCCATGCAGCTACAGGCAGAGTGTGGACCCGCAGATCCCTATTTTGTCACAGATATTTTTAGTAAAAGTCAGGGATAGGTCACAGCTTCTGTTAATTTTTCCTTTATTGCCCAGGACCTGTCCCTGATTTTTACTAAAAATATCCATGACAAAATCTTAACCTTAATCATGACTCCATGTTATATCACAAAAACGGCTTTTAATTCCCATCCCATGGTTTCGGAACCCCCTCATCCATCTAGCCTAGTGGTTCCCAAACTGGGGTTTGTGAACCCCTGGGGGTTCACGAAATGTTACAGGGGGTTCTTGAGAAAAAATTCCCTAATGGCAGCCAGAGCCGTCCCTAGGGACCCCGGGCAGCACAGGGCCAGCAGCCTGGAGCCCCTGGACTTCCCAGAGCTCAGCAGATCAAAGCAAACATCTCTATCACACAGAGGAGATTTAAACTTCAAGACTCTTTATAAGAAATGGAAAGGGGAGGTGGATATTTTTTGCTGTTATTAAAATTAAATAGGCAGCTAGTGTTGTTTTTAAAAGTATTATGAAGAACAAGTTTAAGCTTTATTGTAACATGGGTTGTTTGCCTGGACTGCTCAAGACCTGAATGCTTGTGTAGGAGGAACTCTTTGAGTTGGCATCTTAAATACCTTCATGCTGTTTCACATCTGATACTCCTTGATGAAACATAGGATCCTTGTCTTATAACAGGCTTATTCAAAGTGTTACAAGCTACAAAAGTGAGATCTTGGAAAAGTGTTGCCGTTTTCATAATGTAATAAAAATACTGTAATTATAAATAATTAATAATAAATAGTGTGTAATAAGCATGTC